GGAGACAAGTGAGCAGGAAGGGCTGCTTCACATGGCACTGCGTGGGAAGTCGAATGTGAGTTGCATCAACACAGCGATTTACAGTACTTTCACAATGTTCACGATTTTGTGCTTAATTCGAAATTTGTAATTTGTTTCTAGAACGTCAATTGATTTTTTCTACCAAGATTTAACAACCGGTCTGAGAAATGGGGACTGCGGTTCCCCTTTAAGTCCAGTCTTTGATCTGCTGTTTACCTGCCACTGAAACTCCTGCCCCTCCTTTGCCTTTTTGCCCCCATACCTCTTTGAGCCAGCTGTTCGATCCGCTGGACATAGGTGCTCAGCTCTTTCTGCAGCCGCCGAATCTCCTGGCTCAGCTGAGGCTCCTGGCTGTCAGCCCTGCCGCTTAGCCCAGGTCCAGGGTCTCGGGTAGGGGGTGACTGGCCATGTGCAGTCCTGGGGGGCTGGCCGAGTCTCTCAGGGGTGTACACCAACACCCGGGCCCCCGGCCTCGTCACCACTGCCTTTGGAGCTGATGCCTTCTGGGCAGCTCGCTTGGGCTGGAGCTGTGAAAGGGACCAGGTGGGTGTGCAAGAATTCAAACAGATAGATCAAAGCAACACAACACCAGCGCACATAAAAACTCTTGTCCTGGGAACCTAAACGTAATTTAATTTGCTTTGCATAAAGAACAATGAAAATTGCTCAGCTGCAAAAAAAAAATGATCCAGCGTAACATTATGATCCAGTGTTTTTTCAAATAAGAAATACACCACACAGTTGATCAACAATTCATGGCAGGTTTTTATTCTTGCAATATAAGAATATCGGGGCAGGGCGGTGGCTCTGTGGCTCAGGATCTGCGCCTGTGGCTGGAAGGTTGCCGGTTCGAATCCCGTGGCCGGCAGAGGAATCCTACTCCATTGGGCCCCTGAGCAAGGCCCTTCACCCCAGCTGCTCCAGGGACGCCGTATAAATGGCTGACCCTGCGCTCTGACCCCCAAGCTTCTCTCCCTGTCTGTGTGTCTCATGGAGAGCAAGTTGGGGTATGTGAAAAGACAAATTCCTAATACAAGAAATTGTATATGGCCATTAATTATCTTATATTTATTTTGAATAATAGTAACTACAAACTACATGCTTACTGAATATCTGATGTTCATAATTACATTAAGATACCAGATGCAATTTAAAACTTGTGTTTTCTAATAAGCAAAAAGAAAGACCTAATAACCATTAAGTACTAAGAACTGCTGATTTTCAGTGTATTTCTCAGTTATGAGCTACTCAACAACACAATCAGGACCCAAAGCACAAATCAGCTAGAAGTCATTTAGGATTAAAAGCAGGAAGAACTTCTTTACACAAAATAATTCAAAAGCAATTACCTACACATTTTGTTACAGACAGCTCCCTGGACTGCTATAAAAAAATGCACAAAATACTCTCTAGCAATGAAAGAAGTAAGAGTCTTTTGATCTTCCCTCTACCTGGTCCCTGGTGTTTCCGTCCTGTGGC